TTAGAAATGACTTTTAAGTAATACTTAAGACTGTAATTGCCTGAAAAACATAACTCTGGGCATACCATTTTTGAAAACACCTGTGTCCTAGACTGGAAAGGTTATTCTTGCACATGAATAATATACACAAAAATTGCTAACCTTTCCATATGAATCCCATCAATGTTTGCTTTATTAAAAGGAATCAATACTGGTAAAGTACAATCCAATTCTGTTTATTTTTTTAAAGAGACAATTTTCTCTTTTAAAAATTAAAAATGTTGTAGTAGTTAGCCTCAAACTCCTGCATATACTTATTTATTATTTGACATGCATTATTTCCCATGTGAATTCTACTAAAAAAGAAAACAAGTTAAAATTTGTTGATTTCCAAAAGGATATATGGTGATCTGAAACTGTTTTTGGAGGGATTCTTGGTACTCTCCGTGTTGGTTATTGGCTTACAAATATTTCATTACCTGCCTAGGTAACATCAACAGTGCTAGTGAGTATAAGGTTTGCTCCCGTTTATATACAGGTAATCCTCAATTTAAGATCACAATCATTATATTTGATTTTTATAAAACAGATCTGTCACTACTGTCATCTCTTTGAGATTGGAAGAATTTTCTGCTTGCTCTTTTCTTCTTTAAACGTCTTTCAATGACTATGGCATAGACTATCATCATCACCATTATCATCATCATCATCCTTCTTCCTCTCCTCTTACCAAATATTGCATGAAGTGATAAAGAATGTTCTAGAAGAATAGTTCTTCATAAATAATGTATTACTGAAGATACAAATTTCTATATTTTATATTAAATATTATAAACTACAGTATATGTTACAGGTATATAGGCATACTCAGTGAGAATAAGAATCATTGGTTCTAATGCAGATATGGAACTTGAAGGTTGGGAGATTCAGTTTTCATTCATTCATTTCCCTTAAATAGTTTCATTTACTTATGAACATTTCAGCAGTTGTAAAATTATCTTTTACCATTCTGGACAGCCAACAGTAGATAGTAGGAACAAAGATTTTTCAAATCAGCTTGACTTTGGGCAACTTTTAGAAGTGAATTGATACCTGGCATTCATTTAGTTAAAAGCAATTAAACAAATATGTTTTCCTAGGTATTTGTATTTAATGTCTATTCCTCAAATCCATGGGTAAGACAAGGCCAAAAAACTTCACTAGTCTAACGGATTTAGTTTAACTTATCCCTCTGGGGATCAATGTCTACATTTCTACTTTAAAAAAATAACTGTTGATTTAAACTCCATAGTAGTGAAAGTCCTTAAACCTGGGATTGCCAAACAAACTAGTTAAGCAGTTCAAGGAAACAAAATGTTAACCCACCTTTGAGTACAAGTTTTCAGTGATTTTTGAGCACTCTGTGATTTTTTATTTCTAAAGTAATATCCTCACAAACCTGCCATTTGGCTGTTTGTTTATATCTTGTGGAGGAAAAAGTAAAGGAACCTCATTGTCCTCCATGCTGTTTTTGAATAGTGCAGTTTATTTGGTAAAAGTGTGTAGGAGAGCATTATAGCTTTAGTCAGTAAATGGCTAAATGTGTGTAGATAAGATTGCAGCCAAGGCTAGTTTTAGAAAACTGCTTGGCTTGTTTTCCTCATACACCTTATTATTATACTGTCATTGAAGAAATATGTTCCAACCATAAAGAGAATTATAGTACATTTCCAAAGGGATTCAGTCTGATCTGTGTAATTCATTCCATGAAAAACAGGTTTTTAATTATTATTTTTGGCTGCAGCTGGGGACAATAGTGAAATATTACACTAAATAATGCCACGTGCAATAGTAAAATAGAGTTTCATTTTTGCCAGAAGCAGTATACAGTGTGCACGTATATATTCCCCACATCAAATTAAACACTGGAGGTTGCTATTTAATCTGAATCATTTGCTTTACTTCATCCAAAACTAACAAGAGGTTGAAAGGGAGTTATAGTTTTATTGAAACCATTTGCTCAGCTTACATTGCCAAAATAATTGACTTAAAACTATTCACTTTAATTAGGTTAAAGTTGATTCTTCAGCTCCATAGTGAATAGGGATTATTTTGTTCTTTTCTTCCTCTTTTATAATTTAGTATGAGGTAGTGTATAACTACATACACTACATATATTGCACTATATGGAGTAGTAACTTGCAACTGTTACAAATGCAGTGGGATAGATTTCATGAATAACTATAGTTATGACAGAAAATAATATTAATAATGTTTATCTTAATGTGGACTCATCTGCTAGGTGTTTTGTTACATTCATACAATGGATAACATTCCAAGCAATATGGCACAATAATATTTATTAATTATATCCCAGTCATATTTATTAATTTTTCCTGCTATCTTATACACTATTTGGTTTTCATAAGTTAAATATAAAATGTTCTCAGAGAAAAGTAGCAAATAAATTAAGCTGCATAAATAATAAAGCAGCATTCAATTATTTTAACAATATTTTCTGCAATTATTGTAGCATTTAGAATCATACTCGCTATATACTGTTGCTATTTTGCACCGCAGTGAGAAATATTTGATGGCTAATAAACTCCTTGAGAAAAGGTGAAATATAAATTAAATAATTAAATAATTAAAAATAATTAACATACAATGTGAATAATTTTTCAATTTATGCTATCAACAAAATATAATAAATGTTAAAGTAGATAAGAACATAAAAGATAAAAAAAATTAAACTTCCAACTGAAAATTATGACTTAGAATTTGTTATGTCCTACATGGGCACTTGCATTTCTACTATGTGTGCTATGAATTTTTTTCTTATAAACATTAAATTAAAATCAGTATCATTCATTAAACATATATATAAAGTTCAAATGTCTTACTATTTTAAACAACTGATTTATGTGAAAGAGTTGTTAGAAACATATTTTCCAAAAGAAAAAAAGAAATTATAATATTGCAGGTACTATTTGAAAACCTAATGTTTAAATTCAGAAATAATTTTGTCAGTACATGAGCAAGGAATACTCAGTTTTAATTTTGCTTAAGATTTCACTTTTTCAGATGACATGTTCCTTCATCTTTATGTCAGTTCACCATGCATATTTATCCAATGTTTTCATTTATATATTCCCTTTTCCTTAATGTATTCATATTTATATGTAAATTTCATAATACAATTTTTGCAAGATGTTTCTCCAAATGCATATTTTTATGTATTCCTTCATACGCATATTTTTGTTAATACTATTCTCAATATTTACATTTAAGTTCACAGTTTATTTAATAATGAATTTTACCAAATAATATCAATGTGTACATTGTAGTATACTTTTCTTAGAACTCAGGAAATGCATATTGTTTAAATTTATATTATTTAGCTATCAATAATATTTAACTAACAGATTTCCCCAATCAACCCTTATAAGAGGTAGCTGAGAATCATTTTTACTTTCAAGAATAATATTTTCTTTGTAGCGAGGATTCCTTATTTTACCTGAATCAGTTATACGCAAGAACATAATTCTTGATCTTGATTATTTACTGTATTAGTGTAAATAAAAAGAAACTGCATGAACTATACCTGGTAGGAAAACACTTGACACTAAAGGGAAAAATATAAAGGGAAATTTAGAAATAAAGAAATATTAGGGACCGAAATGTTGACTATGAAATGACAACTTACCCTTGTAACCAGCTGCATTGGTTTTCCAGTCATTGGCAATTAGATGTCTAGCCTGTGAAGTTCTTACAATAATATGTTGAATATCCCTCCATGTTAGTAAACGACTAGAAAAAGACAATAAAAATGTGATTTTCTAAAAGGAGAGAAGCAAAGACGCAGAGGTGGTTATCTAAAAGAGAGAAAAATGTCAAAAATGTTCAGAGCAAGAATAAATTATGGGTTAAATTAGTCCTGTTCATAATTAATATTTTGAAGATATTTTTAACAAACAGAAAACTATTTCAATTGCATGAAAAAATAGATAATAGTTAATTGTTATGTGATATTTAAGCTTTTGCATGTGTATAGCCTCACTGTGTTATGGCCTCTCTTTGAAGTGAGGCTACTTGTCAGTGTGGCTAGGCCGTGCCATGACACTTGGAGACTACATCAGGAGACCTTGGTGTTCTCTGACCTTGCTTGTTTTGTTGTAGACTGATAATGTTACCTAGTTTGGGCAATGAAACAAGAAAACAAGCAAAGTCAGAGAGCACCAGGGACCCCTCATTTCAACCCTGAGCTACAAATATTCTCCTTTATTAGAGACATCATCACTTCTATACTAAGCTGCGAATAGAGTGTGCTGGTTATGTTCATACCCAACCCATGCTCTAGCAACTTTGGCTACAATGAGAAAAAAAAACTTTAACATGAAGTCTCCTTGTAAATTGTGCTTATAATGATTATTTCATTCTTGTGTTGCAAGGACCAGATGCTACAGCATGGCTTAAGTTCAAGAGATTTTGTTGGAGATAAGAAAGCACTGGGAAGATTTCTGATCCTGATTCTGACCCTTGTGCTGGTAGATTCCAAAATTTGCTAAATTTGGGGAAACAGCATCTCCCCACATTTTATTTATTTAAATTTATATGCTTGCCTATCTCAGTGACTACTGGCAGTATGCAAAGATTAAAAACCCAACAGTTAAAAACAACATCTCCAATGTAAATGATACTTCCCAATTATAAAATCATATCAACTACAGAGAAAAGGTGTAAGCTTTTGTGCCCTATGTGTGTACATATGCCTGTTCTTGTAAAGAAGCACCCCTCCTAGCAACCAGCAACAAAGAAGATCACCCCAAACAATTTATGAATCATATTGTTAGGAGCCAGGACAGATTTTGTATAACATGGACAGATAATACAGAGTTGGCCTGCAAACAGGCTAGGCATTACATACATAGCAGAATCAATCAACCTTTGTTGGCAAAGAAAAATAAATGGTAGTTATGGTAGATAACGCCAGCAAAACTCAAAATTGGTGGTACATAACTGGTGTAAGGACTTCTCTACTTTAAAAAAAATGTTTATGCTTTTGAATAAATAAAATTGTATTCTGGAGTAATCTAAAATCGGTGTTAATTTCATATTTGTAGCTACAAGGTCCCGATTAAAATTTCTTTCATATCCCACTGTTGCTTATTTACTCAGTATAAACAAGGGTTTTATATAATAGCATCTTGCTGTTGTTCTTTCCTATCTGTTAATATAATTTAATCAACAGTTGTTGGCACAATTCATGTTCAGATTATATTTTTCTATCAGAAAGGATTAGGATTGTAATCCAGAATCACATTTTTAGTTTCAGGAAGCAGGTTACTAGCTAGACCAGGAGTCTTAAATTCAATTTTATTGAAGGCTGCATCAGGGCTGTGGTTGACCTTGGGGGGCCGGGCAGGCATGTGACCAACTGGGTGGGTGTGGCCAACTGGTGGACATGGCCAACTTGATGCCACTCATTGGGTGTGGCAGACTGGGCATGATCAACTGGGTGGGCATGGCCAGCTTGATGACACTGGCCAAACTGCTGGCATGTTTCCTCTTCGTACTAGGTAGACCAGGCCGAAGCCATGCTGGCCTGATGTTTCCACTTTGTATTGGGCAGACCAGGCTGACCTCTTACATTTTCCAGGACAGTCCGGATCCGACCACATTGTGGGCCGGCTCTGGCCCATGGGCCTTGTGTTTGACATCCCTGAACTAGACAATGCTAACATAGATAATGATAACATAATTTTCTCAAGCAAAACTCTTTGTCTTCATTCCAGCCACAATTATAAATATTCCTATATAGATATAAAACTTCTGCCTTGATACAAATGCATTTTCTGATATTTTCATATTCTTAGAAACATACAAAATCTATGGCAGAAAAAGACCTAATGGTCCACTGAATCTGCTCTTTGAGTTTAATTGTTTTTAATGCTCTTTCAATTTATTTATCTATTTGTTATTTTTAATCATTTTTATATTTTATTCATTTTTATTTAATTTTTGTTGGCTGAGGGACATGCTTATCCCAAGCATGTTTAAACTCAAATAATGATGATGTTCTTATTGTTCTAAGCATATTATGTTCTGTTTGTTCTAAGAACGTTATGTTCTATTAAGTGAATATGTTCTAAGAATATTCTTAATATACTTCTGAAGGTGAAAGATATATTTTGTTGCTTGCCATGAACATTTGTCTTCTAGCACTAAAATTAAGCAAAGAAAAAAATGAATGGAGAAAATCCAATTTATATTAAAATTCATAAAGATGGAATTAAACTCCACTTAATTACACAGCATCACCTACATGCTTGCTAGTGTAATCTGGTGGTTCTGTTTTGTACCTATTCGTGTACAAATGGTTTCAAGGTCCCAGTTATAGAAATAATAGTACAATATTTTTAACAGTTTGAAATCAAATAATAAGGAAGTTGTCTTCTCTAACAAGATAAAACCATACAGAGAAATAAAAACAAGAAAAAGTGAGTCTGACCACATATATCTGTGCAATGTCAATTTATATATCCTTGCAGTAAACAAGCAACATGAATACCAAAAGCCTTCAATTTGATCTTAAGACTTAATCTACACTATATCAAATTTATGTCTGTCCTAGCACAAAACTTCTACTGCACAATTCCTTTGATATACTGTATGTTTCTCCTTTAATTCAGCTACTGTATATATTCAGTTTGCACAGCCACCTGCTTAATGGAGTAAAATACTTTTCTAGGAGAGACTGTTTGCTAAACCAGTGATATAGCCAGGAGATTAGAGTAAAAAAAACCCATTTAATGATGTAAAACAGATGTGTTCAACCTTATGCAGACTTTGTACTCTGTACCTTTAGAAAAGAAGGAAAGAAAATCTTGGCTATAAAAATTTGGGAATGATATCTGGAAATATATCACTGAGACATAGAATGGCCCTTGGGGCCTACCACAAGCTTGTCCATTACTGAATTAATAAGGACAGCTCTCGAACTTTTTCTCTGATGTATTTTACAGAGTTCAACTTGGATTATATTTAGGAACAAATTAGCCATAGAATTACTGAGAATTTATAGGGAACATAGCAGAGAAATTTCTATTTGTCAAAAATTCTTCTGGTTTGCATTTAGTTTTTATTTAAAAGTAAAATGTTTATAGTTCCACTTCTTCAAAATTCATGTCACAAAATGTATCTGCTTGTACTTTGCTTTGTTGTCACTAGGAGACACTGTAGTGCCTGTTAAACTACATACATAAATGTCATACTTTAATGATTGTTCCTAAATTTAATTAACAGGATGATTAAAACTTCCAGTATTAATTAATTTTATAATTTATAAAATACTTCCAACTTCTACTTAATATTTCTTAATCCAAATATCTAAAATATTTAGTTCCACGGTTGAGCACTGTGAGGTTACTTCTCAATATCTTCTTTGGCTTTTTCCTATAGTTAAGCAATGCAGGAGTATTGAATTAAAAGTTTTACTTTCCTTCTATTTGTCTTTGTATACTACCACATAAAGCAGTAAAAGAGAACTAAAAAATGAAAAATATCAAAATGTTCTTATATGTTTTCCCCCCAATCCTGTTATAGTCTCTACATCTATCATTCAAAAAAAAAAAAAAAAAAAAAAACATAGGGTAGAAATTTTTAAACACCATTATTTAAAATAATCAATTCTAATATAAGGATATTGAAGAATGCTTTACAATTCATAGGTATGTAATTTATTTGTACACAAGTTTGTGAAGGGTGAATATGACAACGTAAACTCCTGGCTAGAGTTTATGAGCTCTAGTTCATAGAGTTCATGAATTTTTAAAGTAGGACTGCTTTTCTCCTAAAAAATTCTGCTAGCTAGTAAAACAGACAAGAAGCAGTATTATAATAACATTTGTAAGATTGAAAAAGACATGGAAAAGCAAAGAATGTCTTCAAAAGATCCATGATAGGCTAAATATTGAATTGATACCCTAAAGCAGGGGTGTCCAACCAATCTCAACATGCTGGCTGATGATTTCAGAGTTGAAGTCCACAAGTCTTAAAGTTGCCAATGAAGAGATAGAATCTGTAGCATCTTCTTTGATTAACAAATTTCATTAAGCAGAATAAGCTTTCATGGTTATCATTCACTTCATCAGATCAGAGTGGCTAGGTTGATGTAAAATTTACTGTGGTGAGGAGGGAGGGCAAAGGTGGGGAAAAATTTAGAAACAATTATTATTAAAAATAACATTTAAAATCTGCTGGTCTTTAATGCTTAAAAAAAATGGTTCTGGACCTAGTGGCCAAGCATGTACAGGGAATGGAGATTCTCAATCACCCAGGTCATGGTTGACTGAAAGATGCTTTTCTAAAAGTTAGATGGACTTTGAAGCTTCTTGGATGAGAAGTGAAACATTTTGATGGAAAAAAATCTAGAAAGTACAGTTGTCTTTTGGAAAAGCTCCTTTGGTATATGTGCAGGGATTTATTTCTTGGTTATAATAGTAGTTATGGTATATGATATATGATGTAATTCTGATTAATAATAAATATTCTTGCTATCTATTTTAATTTTTGTACCACTTTAGTTGTTTTAACTTTCTTTTAGTTTTGTTTGCTACCCAGATTCACTTGTTTAGATGGGGAGAAGCATATAAACGGAATAAATAAACAGATAGATCTTGCTAACAATACTATTTTACCATTTTAACAATAAAATCAGGACCATCATCACTGATGCAAAAACAGCAAGCCTTGTGTGACTTTGTAGTAGAACTATTTTACACTTGGCAATAATTGCACAAATACTACAA